GGGGGGGGGTTCTGAAAATATCACACTCATAGTCACAGTAAAAAAAGTATTCTATCTAGGAAACTCTGTGTCGGCTTGTCAAATAAGTGCTCGAGTACATGATGAAGTTTAACAGCGTTGATGATAATACCATGTTTGCAGACTCTACTCCCATAGGCCCCATAGTCGAGCCCTGCAATGTTCTTTCCTGTAAACTTTTTTTGCTGAAATGCATTCTTCAGGCCAAAAGAAGCAAAATAAGCTTGGTTGCTATTTCCGAGACATTGAGCATTTTTCAATATGGCCGTCAATTTATCAGGAAAATAGAAAAACCACCAGAAGTCGCCGGGTATACTTTATTAACATGTGTTTTGAACGTTACTCCTATCAGGAGAGCACAACAGTACTAGTGGATACGCTTAAGCGCGTACCATTTAGCAAAAAAATCAAAATGGCCGTCAAAACATGTAGAAAGTGACAAAAGCTGCAGAATAAGTTCGTCTTTTGCATATTTAGTTTTATTAAAACCATATCCGCTTTTTATATTTATATTAATTATGATATGTTATTAGTCATGACCCTAAACTCTCGGAATAAGCTTATTTGACAGTTCAATAAGCCCCCAAGAGTCTGTTTACTACTTCCACGGATCCCATAGTCAAATACATGGAATGTTATTCTCTGTAATTTTTTAAAGAATTGAATACTTCGGGGGTATAAAAGCCAATTTAATTTTGCCTTTCTTGGCAGTGGCTACATTTGGAACATTGATCAATTTTCAAAATTCAAAATGACCGTCAATCATATAAAATATATCACTATATGATTATATTATAAATAAATAATTAAGTTAAATAGCAAAGAGCCGGGTTCAAAGTGCATGGTATCCCAAATTTCAAATGACTGCTAAAACATGCCCAGAAAGGTAAAAAAAAAGCAGCAAAATTACGTTTTGAACTGATAATCTGGCGTATAATATATATTAAACCATTTTATTTATTGACAAGGTGTACTAGTAAAGTACAATTATACTAAAACTCTATAAAAGAGGATCATTGATACACTGTAGGACTGACCGTTACGTAAGTTCTCTTTTTACTACGGGCTCAGACTGATGCAAATTTTATCAAGGGCCAACGGAGGTTTCCGCAGGATTTTGTGCACAGGGAGGCCAAAATGTTAATCTGCAATTGGGATCCTTATATTTACATGGAGGCCAACCAAGTCCGTTGGAAGGGAGGGGGGGGGGTAAAAATAATAATAAATATATTTAACTATTGTCAAAATATTAACCTTACTATTATTATTATTTTGTTTTTATAGTGAGCATACTTACATTAATTTTTGTGGTTTTATACCTTGATCATAACTTTATTCCGTATGTATATACAATTTAGCTTTAAAAAGACGTTTAAGAAAATTTCATCAGTACATAACAGCACTTCTAAATGTTCTTATTACTGCACTTTTTTTACTTAACATTGCAAATCTTTTGCTTATATAATGACAGCCATTAAAAACATTGAGGCCGTATTTTTCAAGTTTGAAGCTCTAAACTGGGCTTGCTTTCATATGAATCATTTGTTTCCATCTGATCATCAAGTGTCAACGAAGATGCCGTGGCTCCGTGGTAACTTTGTAGTTTGGGATATCGGCAGACACTCGTTGACTGGTTCGAGTCCCAGCAGATCCTAATGTCCTAATTTGCCAGGATTATTTTTTGAAAAATTGCGATTAATTACTATAAAAGGAAATTCGTACGTACGGAGGGCAGGGCGGGCGGGTCAGGCACGGCGCAGTCGGTAGCGTGCATGGATGCAAATGAGCAATCCAAAGCGTCATCAACCATGGTAACGCAAAGTCACGAGTTCGAATCCCGGATGAGGCACGTCACTCCATAACGACAACGACTGGGCCCCTGAATCGGGATGTCAGGGGGACGAATGTGGGCTCTCGTGGGTCTTTGCAAGTTACTTTTTGCATAAAAATACGGTATATTTTAAAAAGTTTTCATGAAGTGATCGATTTAAAACAAATATATTGCTGGCATTAGAACACAGTTTGCGTCGTCAATATCATTATTTCCTTTCTTTTCACTTAAAAGTCCTTATTTTGGTGTCACAGATCTTGAACTTCAATTGAGCCATAGTTACCTCCTTATGTACTGCATTTCTTCAAAATGTGCTATCATCTCGGTGGGATTATCAGGGAGAAAATTTTTATTGTTTACAAAAGTCGCGTCGCCTCTGTTCGCTTTTAACGGACATTCATTTTCTTTTCAAGCCCCACTTTGCTATCTTGGGTCTTTGCTTCTAAAGACCGTTCATTTGTTCATACAGTACCCGGGGGCAAGTCCGCAGTAGACATTTGAAAGAGTAAAGACTACTCAATAATAAAACCACCGAGGTGTGAACAGCTGTGAACCTCATCGTGCTCTATAACGTCGAAGGTGAAACCAAGCGTTATCTCAGTGCAAAACTGAGGTATTTGTGACTATCAGATTAAAAACTTACAAGTTATTCAAAACTCAGCTGCAAGACTGGTTTGTCAAATTAGTACAATAGTACCCACCATATCACTCCCATTCTGAAAGAATTACACTGGCTGCCTGTGAAGCAGAGGATTGATTTTAAAGTACTTTGTATTATTCTTAAGGCGATCCATTCACAAGGACAATTATGTTTATCTGATCTTATCTGTTTTAACTTACCACGGCGGTCCACACGTTTTAATACTGAGAATGATTTTATTTTAGAACATTCTGTTTTAGAGAAGGGGTGCCTAAAAAGTTATGGAGATCGTGCTTTTATAATCTACGCCCCAAAAGTGTGGAATGGTCTACCAAATTTTATTAGAAAAACAGAAGACTTTAACAATTTTAAATCTCTTTTAAAGACCCACATTTTTAATTCTGTCTATATCTCTTAGATTTTATTTTAATATATATATGTTTTTTAATAAGATTGATTTTTAGTAGTGTAAATTTTAAATGGTTTCCAATGAGAGTTTATGATTAATATGTTGTAGTCATTTTAATAATTTTAGTATATTAGCCATTATTGTAAGGCGCTTTGAGATAGAATGTAAGGCGCCATATAAGAATCTTATCATTATTATTATTAAAACAAGATAAAAATAAAAATTAAAAGCATCTGAAGTCATCTTACTCGGAACTTTCCGAGCAGGCCCATCAATGAAAGCGACACGACCGAACTTGAATTGATTCAGTAGCTTTTCCGGTATAACAGCACGTCATACCACCTGTAAACCGTGTTCAGCAGAAAAACGATATCTTCTAGGAGGAATTCTTTGCCAATTATGCTTTACTCAAAAGTTTCCATCGCTGCAATTGCTTAAATGTAAATCGCCCCAGTAATTACACATTTGAATGTTGTTTTTTTAATTCCATCTTCTTATGGTCCCCCTTAAAGTATAACACGCCTGTTGTAAACTGCCTTTGGTCCCATTGTACTCTTTGATATCATAGGTAAAGCCAAAAATATTTTAAGGATAAATCAAACTCCGAGCTTTGCGTCGAGTTCTCAAACACGGCTCCCTGTACATCATGGAATTTACCGTTCACGATATAACATGGTCGAGGACTGGTGTTACGTGAGATGAAATACGGCACCCGCACGATCGATTGGGACAGCAGATATATACATGTAAATCCATCTGTCCCTCTCCGTGACAAGGTTGAAAGTTTCCATCTGATCATGAAATATCAACGAAGCTGCCGTGGCTCCGTGGTAACTTTGCTGTTTGGGATATCGTCAGATACTCGTTGACTGGTTCGAGTCCCAGCAGAGTATAATGTCCTTTTTTGCCAGAATTAATTTTTGAAAATTGCGATTAATTACTATAAAAGGAAATTCGTACGTACGGAGGGTGGGCGGCTTAGTCACGGCGCAGTCGGTAGCGTGCATGGATGCAAATGAGCAATCCAAATCGTCATCAATCATGGTAACTCAGAGTCACGAGTTCAAATCCCGGATGAGGCACGTCACTCCATATCGACAACGACTGGGCCCCTGAATTGGAATGTCAGGGAAACGAATGTGGGCTCTCGTGGGTCTTTGCAAGTTACCTTTTGCATAAAAATAGGGTATATTTTAAAAAGTTTTCATGAAGTGATCGATTTAAAACGAACAAATTGCTGGCATTAGAACAAAGTCTGCGTCGTCAATATCATATTTCCTTTCTTTTCACTTAAAAATCCTTATTTTGGTGTCACAGATCTTGAACTTCAATTGAGCCATAGTTACCTCCTTATGTACTGCATTTCTTCAAAATGTGCTATCATCTCGGTGGGATTATCAGGGAGAAAATTTTTATTGTTTACAAAAGTCGCGTCGCCTCTGTTCGCTTTTAACGGACATTCATTTTCTTTTCAAGCCCCACTTTGCTATCTTGGGTCTTTGCTTCTAAAGACCGTTCATATGTTCATACAGTACCCGGGGCAAGTCGGCAGTAGACATTTGAAAGAGTAAAGACTACTCAATAATAAAACCACCGAGGTGTGAACAGCTGTGAACCTCATCGTGCTCTATAACGTCGAAGGTGAAACCAAGCGTTATCTCAGTGCAAAACAAGATAAAAAATTAAAATAAAAAGCATCTGAATTTATCTTATTCGGAATTTTCCGAGCAGGCCCATCAATGAAAGCGACACGGCTGAACTTGAATTCATTCAGTAGTCTTTCCGGCATACCACCTGTTAACCGTGTTCAGAAGAAAAACGATATCTTCTAGGAGGAATTCATTGCCAATTATGCTTTACTCAAATGTTTCCACCGCTGCAATTGCTTAAATGTAAATCGCCCCAGTAATTACACATTTGAATGTTGTTGTTTTTTTTTTTAATTCCCTCTTTAGGGTCTCAAGTTAGATGAAATAATTTCTTTTAAAAAAACTTGCAAAAAACATAGCAGGCTTTGACTATGGGGCTAGTGGGAGTGGCAATTGGACTCCTGCCACCATCTGATAAATGTCAAATAAGCAAATAAACTAATTATCATACTGAACATAAATAGAAAAGGCGGATATGTTTTAATGAGACTAAATTTGCCAAAAAAAAAAAAGGATTTATTTTGCTGCTTTTTTACTTACTGCCATATGTTTTGACGGCCATTTTTGCTAAATGTTACGCGCTTAAGTGTATTTACTAGTCTTGCTGTGCTCACCTGATAGGATAAACATAAGCTCTTAATAAAGAATACCCGGCGACTTCTGGTCGTTTTTCTATTTTTCCTGATAAATTGACGGTCATATTGAAAAATGCTCAGTGTCTCGGAAATAGCAACCAAGCTAATTTTGCTTCTCTCGACCTAAAGAATGCATTTCTGCAAAAAAAAATTTACAGGGAAAAACATTGCAGGATTAGCGTTCTGGCTACTCGACTATGAATAAACCTGTTATATTTCTATAATAAAACTTTAATATATTTCAATGTTGAAATAAGTTTATTGGCCAACGTTCCTTTCAGGCGGCCATTTTTGGTTTCCATTCTCCTCCAAAAACCACCAAGAGGCAGACGGTCAATTCCGCCTCCTGAAGTATTCCTCCTGGACGACCAGTGCCGGATTTGCTGACTTCTACGTCATACAGACGATCAGTCCTGATTTTTCTGGAGACTATTCCAACTTGTCTGTGTTCTTAGTCTTTCCGGTAAGTGGGGTGTAGGTTTTATAAGTTGTACACTGTCCACTAAACCAGGATTTCGCAAAAGCAGCGGGCGGGGTGGGGTTGGCTTGGGGTGCAGGAGAGGTATACAGAAGACACCCAAGTATAAGATACCTTGATGAAGAGAACATTTTGAATTTAACCCCCCCCCCCTTTTTTGGTTTTCGCTAAATAATTAAAGTCTGTAACCCACAATAGATGCCCTTAAGAGTACTGATGGTTTGACCACCTGATCACTCTACGTTAACGTACAATTATTTTTACTCACATAACACGTCTAGGACGAGATCCGTGCCCATACTGACGACTGGAAAGCACTTGGTCTCCATGGTAACCAGTCTGGTGTGCTGATCACAGAGGGCGTTCTGAAGCAAGACCGTCTCATTGGACCAATAGGTAATTGTTTCACAAATGTAGGCTCCCATTACCATTTAAAAAATAAAAGTATTAATTATTTGAGCTCTGATTTAGATTCTGATATATACTGACAGTCAATGAAAGCTATTTAAGGTAGTCACGAAATCCAGTGTGACACATGACAAAAAAAAGTTCAGTGATGCCACGTCTGACACTGAAAAAATGACTGCGGGCCCTGGGATGCTGGAGGATAGGCGGAACCAAAGGGATTTGATTACGTGACCTTGCATTTCATTGATCTTTTGTGACCTTTATTTCACCTTGTGTAACTGAATAATGGGTCATACATGTATTTCACACGTAAACTGTTATTTTCTTAATGTGCCGAAGGATCAAAAATATTATTTGATAAATAAATGATGCGTTTCATTGACTGTCAGTACATTTTAGTATAGAAATCGAAAAAACGGGATTAATATGCAGTCATTAAGTGAAAAAGTCGCACTGGAGTAAAAAAGAACCAATAATATTTCTTTCAGGTGATGGAGCCGATTCCAACGACGAGACTGTGGACCCTTACTTCCTGTTGCTGTCGTCATCCTGTTGGTGCGGGATTGCTATGGGCTGCATTGACGTAGCCAAAAAGCACGTGGTGGACAAACGTCACGCTGACACCGGATTACGTATTTGTGACTATCCAGCCATTCAGGTAATGTAGATAGATTTGGAAATTAGTTTATATATTGCATTTATAAGTGTACTCCAAGTGATTTTTTATACATGTACTATTGAAGTAGCAACAGCCTTGAAGACAAATATTTCTTTGTTTAAATGTGCTCATAAAATGACCACCAGTAAATATATCAGTAATACTTGGAAGCTGATTTTAATTAAAATTAAAAATTAATATAAAGAATAAACCTTGTTAACTTATTCAGCATTTAGTAAATCGGTTGGTCCATGAATTAAAGCGCAATTCAAGTCATTAGGTCCGATTTAAAATCGAATTTCACAAATCCGCGGTTTTCATAACTGGTGTCTGATCTTTCATAATAAATCTGCATCATCTTAGGATTATTTCGGGCAAAGCATAGCGTCTACGAACGCGTGTCGTTCTATGATGTTCCACGTGGCACGAGGTTACGACAAGGTCACCAATAACAATGATTGGAGTATGCATACAGATCTGACACTGAAACCAAGGTATGACATTGCACAGTTTATGACTTCGACATTGGATATACTTACATAGAAGAGTTCTTTCAATTTAATTAAGTAGCTTGGTACCGGTGTAACGAACCTGAGGGTCCTTGTAACAGAAAGTCCGCCCTCCATTTGCTAATAATGGTTAGCCTTGCCTAAGTGGGTTAAAATCTAGAACGAGGCTGACATGAAAGCACGAATGGGAAGCAGACTCTATTACTTGAGACTCTCTGTCACGTTACACAAAACGGCTGTAAACCGAAAATGAGGCCAATTCCATATTGAAATAGATATAAAATTAGCATAAAACTTGCGCCAGTAATCTCCTATTTTAACGCAGTCGAACTGAAATTAATTTCAAAGTGGACTGTTACCGCGTTACCTTGTGTAAAAGTGGGCAAGTTAAGGTCAGTTTCAAACTTGGGGTTTATTACCAATGAAACTATCGTACTAGGGGAGTTTTGCTTAATGCAACCAGATTAACAGGTCTTCTACTGGCCTTGGCAAGAACAGAAACGCTGGTGATTATACGGGTACGTGGGAAACTAGAGAAGGCGTGGCGATTCTTTAATCTGATTGCATTCATTGGAAATGAGCTCTTAGACTCTTTTGTGAGACAGGTCCCGTGAATTTAAATTAAACTGCATGGAAAAGGGTTGTCTTATGATGTCAGCATATATGCAGGTATCTAAGTTAGGCGGAGGTTAAATCACCACGTGAAATGTACTTCAGGTTTGGGTATTTACACTGGGGATGGCAGCTGAAAGTGATGTCATCTAAAAACGTGAGTGAGGTTTCCGACACGATGTTACATGTGTGTGGCGGGGCCGGGTACAAGACAGAGCTTGGTAAAATAATATTTTTTCTTTTATTATCACGTTTTGCTTTGCTGTGAAATAGAATGTTTGGATATCAAATACCAAGTATGGAGAGCTTGTCCTATATGATAAAGTAGAAATGTGGAATTGAAAAAAAGGAAATACATTAATGGTTTTACTGTGTTGAGAAACCAAATGTTTGAAAGTCAAATACAATAGATGAAGGCATAAACCATATGCAATATTAAATAAATCGAGAAAATATTAATCGATTATTATTTGTTTATGGTTATTTGACTCCTGGTAAAACGCCTGAGAGCACAAATGGCAAAATAATAGACAAATACATATATTTCAAAATCCAAATGTATTTACCATGTTTCTAAATGCCGTCAAGACACGTGGCGTTGCACGATAGCTTTGGTTTCTAGGTTTAGAGCGTCTGCTTCGTGACGCCAAGGCGGGGTGGGTGATGGGTCCGAGTAACGAGGTGGCACGAGGATGGATTGGACAAACCTCTCTTTTGGGGATGGAAGAACTGGATTACTGGTAAGTTTTAAAACAGTTAAACAGTTTTAAAGATTTTTATCATCGGTTACCTATTATAGAAATGTTATTTTTCGGGTGGGGTTGGGGTAACTTATTGATATGGTGATTGCCATCTATTTTTGTAATCATTGTTTCTTATATATGTACAATTACTGGCACTCTTTTGAAAGCACATCTGATAAGCAATAACTGACATTGAAATTATCTATAGGTTAACAAATGTATTTCAGAAATACAGTCCATTGACATTGCTTGATTTGTGTTAATTGTAACAGCAAAAGAAATTGAAGTTATTATGATTTAGGGTCCAACACCCTCATAAACGCGTCCTGAATGCAGAAATTAAGAAGCTGAACATTGAGGACAAGAAAGCTCTTTCGGAGCGTCTGCTTAGAGAGATTGCTCTGCAGGAGAGTGGGGGCACCGGTGCAGAACCAAACCAAGACATCAACTTCGACGACCCTTTCTCAGCAAGGTCACCGAAGCACGTGGGCGCTCTGAAAGGAGTCGACGGGAAAACGCACCTGCCGGGGTTAAAAACAGACGCCTTTGTCCCACTGAAGCTTATTGAACGCACCAACGAAGTTGACAACATCGTGCGTCTGAAATTCGCCCTCCCTAATGCTGAAATGCATTCTGGGTGCATGCCAGGCCAGTACGTGCAGGCCCGGGTGGATGTGAATGGGAAAAGTAATGACCGCTACCTGTCACCTCTGTCTGTACCCTCTGACTACGGTGTGATGGAGTTTGGGATGCGCCTGGAGACTCACGGTTTATTCTCCAAAGCCATTCAAACGATGGCAATAGGTATTTGATGTGATATATTCATTTACGAAATTTTGATTTCAATTTTATAACTGATGAAGGTTCACCTCATCAAAACTTTTGAGCCCATAGCAAAATTATGTTCACCAGTAAAGCTAATACTGCTGCATTGTGTTTTCACTTGTATATGGTGTTCTTAGTGATATGTTGGAGTATAAAGAAGGGTCTTCTCCATGTATTATTTATTTTATGTCTTTACAGGAGACATCATGGAGTGCCGCGGTCCATGTGGTGGTTTTGAATACGAGCCCGGGAAACTGGATCAGTTGATTCTGATTGCGACTGGAGTCAGCGCCACGCCTGCCATACAATTGTTTCGAACCGTGGCAAAGAATAAATCCGACAAAACTCGCGTGTCATTCTTCTACCACTCTAAAACACCAGAGCACCTTCTTTTTCGTGAAGAGCTTGCCAGTTACGCTGAAGACGACGAGCGCTTGACGACCACATTCTGTGTTTCAGATGCAGATGATAAATGGTCCGGGCTTGAAGGATTGATCGATGCTGATTCGTTGAAACCGTGCTTGCCTGTAGCCAATGGGAAGACAGTCAAATTCATCATCTGCTCTGGCACTAATGTTGTCATCACCATTCTGGATGTTCTATACGGCTTGCAGTACAAGAGCGAGGACATCTACATCTATGGGCCGTTTGGTGTTGAGCTGCTTCGTTCTGTGTTCGGGCGGAAAGCCAAACTGTCTGCAGACCACTGCTAAAACAGACGAGTCTTTACTTTGATTGGACATGCATTTCTAACAGCATTGGCCATCAAAGTGCTTTGCTCTTCCCGAAGATGTAAAGATAACTACCAAGTCTCACCTCTTTACCTCCACAAGTACAGCGTATAATAACTATATAGGTCAGCTTGGTTCAGAGGATACATGTTAGAGGCACCGCCAATTTTACAGATGCTTCGTTTTTATTCAATATAGATGACCTCCATATACTTCTCAATCATAGATTGAAGCTACGTATCAATATATGAATCTATATCCTTCATGATATTCACTTGACTAATACAGATATATAGAAGAATATAAGTCTATATATTTAGCTTTTGATTAAAGAACCTAGTTTTGACGCCGTTCGTGTTTATGAGGACGATGAAGTTTTACATGATACTAACTTTTTGTCTGTAATTTGGCGACATATTATTTGATATGCTTTTGTACCTGTAAGGAAGGAAGATACGAATCTTAATATCTTAATCATATCTAATGATGCATTTTATCAACTTTTGCTTTCGTACTATCCAACATTGGTCAAAAAGGTTGCCCCACTCCCAGTTTCACGTGCTTTTATTAATAAATGATCACATCACAGGAGTTAATTGCTGTTGATGGCGATTTTCATTCCGGACACCATTACTAACATGATCAATGGTACAGAAAATACAAACTAGCGATGAAGATATAAATATTTAATACCATTTATTCACATTTAATACATGTACCCCCCCCCCCCCAAGTCCTAAGTTTCTGTGTCATTTCCTAAGAGGTAAAGAAATGCCCATTAAATTGAAAAGACCGCCAAATTTACACACACTTATCATTAGGGTTTGTTCGTGAAATGTCACATGTCTTTTAGCGTGTGTGTCTACCGCTGATATCGAAGTTCTGTTAGTTCTGGGGGTCACTTAACCTAATATTCTCAGCAGTCATTTTGCAGATCCTATCCAAGTTTAATAATATATAACTGCTTTAAGAAACCGAAACAATGTACCAGGACCGTATTTCAAACAGAATAAAGAGAAGGAAGGGGTGAAGTTGTATTTAACTTTATCATACCGCTTTAAAGTACAATGTATGTGCTGGATTTGAGTTCTATACTAGTAAACAAGTGTAACGGTTTCCTCTCGCCCTCATCCACTTTATAATAACACCTTACTACCACGCTGTCTACACTGTAAACAATATTGTTACTGTTAACGATAAACAAAATACCTTGACAGTAATTCTGGTGACATTCAGTGCGCCTCAAAGTTAAGTTGTTTTTTTTTCCAATCATTGAAACCATTGGAATAAACCAAAATAAAAGCAAGGAAACCAACGGTCTGAAAGACAAACATTTTTTAAACATGAAACCATGTACCTCGAACTGGCACAGCTGTAGCTTAACTATTTCGTTTTTGTGGACTCTTTATCTTTGGTGTGGCTTCATTTTGTCTCTACGAACTATTGCATGATTTAGATATGGCAGGGAAAGCATGGCCCAGGTTAGTAACATAGTCGAAATGAGACCATTCGCTGATTTCCCTGTATATTTGGACGTTGATTTTACTGCAATAAATACTACTCGAGTAAGTTTTAAGATCATGCGGCCTTGTTGAAATTGGCACCGCTCTTGTTTAGCACTCAAAGTATTATTTCAACTGATTTTTTACCACGGTTAGCTAATCCATTGGTTGAACAATTAGTAAATCTTTATGAAAAAAATCCTTCTAGAAGTTGGGTAGATATTGGTTTACGGCTTAATTACTTTTATTATTTTACGCATTGCATAAGGGTTGACATGTTTTAGTAAGGGAGTATAACAAACCACGATTTCATCTCATTAACTGGCTAAACGAATATGTTTATTAATTTCAATACTGACTTCTAAATTACGTAAGACACAGGGGTAGGAGCGCGTTGATCTTGTGCAGCGTTCATCGTTAGTCGTAATCTCCATTTTTTCTCTACTAAGGTGAATTATGTCATGGCTTTTATAAAATTAAAAATGGCATGCATTTCTTCCCGATTTAGAATTCATCGCTTAAAGGGTGAAATACATAACAATGTTTTGAGGTCAACAAAATTATAAACCTCCTCGTCTAGGTTGTTGTTAACTTTTCGTCTTGATGGATGAATTTTAGTATCTGCCGATTTCTTTTACTTCGATCTTCCTAGGCCTCTCCATGACTGCTGATCTCTCATGAACAACAGAAATTATAGAATTGTTAAACAGGCTGACGTATTGTAGTATTGTATGAAAGGCTTCAGAGCTAGCAGGATGAGTAACATACACCCGTGTCACCTCTTTACTACATAACATCCAGTATGTATAATTAAACAGAAGTAGTAAAATTGCGAACAGCGTCGGATTTAGAGAGGTGTGTGTGTGTGTGGGGGGGGGGGGGGGTCAGGTGGGCCCTGATCCCTCTTTCGGTTTCTGAAAATATCACACTTATAGTCATAGTGAAAAAGTAATCTATCAAGGAACCCTCCGTGTCGTCTTCTCAAATAAGTGCTCGTGTACATGATGAACTTGAACTTTACCAACGTTGATGAACTTGAACTTGAACTTTACCATGTTTGCAGACCCTTGATGCGGTCTATTTTGGCAGTGAAAGGGAATACCCCCTCCCTGGACGAATTACCTGTACAGTAAGAACCCGGTAAAGTGGCACGGTAAACAGTGGCGGATTTAGGGGGTGTCAGGCGGGTCCTGACCCCCCTTCGATCTATGAAAAAATCAAACATATGGATTAGAATTTAGACTAACTTAATCACAGTTCTAAACCGTACCAAGTGGCACTGTTCGCCCTCGAAAATACCTATTTTTTCCGTCCCCGGATCCCACGCCAAAGAGGGGGGGGTCGATTTTGCATCTGCGGACTCCCCCCCCCCCCCCCCCCCCCCCCCACCCCCCCGCTCCCCCCCCCCCACCCACCACC